GCGGAGGGGCGAACCCCCACGCTTGTGTATTCTGGGGTGTTTTGGGGAAACTACAGGGCAAAAGGCTGTGCCAGAACCACCATGGTCCGGTCTTTCATGATCTTCAAGCTACATAGAAGATTTGGGGACTGCACCACCAACTTGCACCTTGACACCCTGGTGGTACCCCAACCCCTGAACAAAAGCTGCAATAACATCAAAAACGACCTTCATGGGTTAAGGCGCCAAGTTTGAAACTCATCCCAACCGCCTACTCTTGCGGCACCGGCATCGCCGAACTCATTTCAAGCATCGGGCACTACAACTCTGCACGGGAGGATCCTGTGAAATTGTCGTTTGACCTGGGAGGAACTCCAACGTCAAAATGGATGAGTAGCCTACCGCAACCAGCCACGAAAAGAAGCCTTCCTGCTGTCAACAGGCTCTCAATTTCTGGAACATCAATGCCTCAGCGTGTGGGCCCGCGGGCTGATTTGGGAGTTGAGGGCGCGGGCCCTCATGAAGGGGCTTTTTCGACCAATCTCCTGAGCCGATCCTCCCTTCGCCGAGGTTGCGCGCTACCAAGGCTCTGCAATGCTCCGCTGGCGGAAGGTTCAGGACGAAACAAACTAGTGGATGGGTGGATGTTGGGTTTGGGGACATGACTCGGATTGCGGCATTGCGGCTGCTCTCTTGGGAGACTCCTTTGGGGCAGCTTTGGCCTTCATAGGCTCTGAGGGATACTGGGCGGGTCTCTCTGCAAGATTCTCTGGGGGTCACTTGGGACTCTCTGCGGGATTTTGGGTTGCTCGACGGGACTGGGGTGGGCCCTCCATCGCCCGAAAGTGGTAAAAAAATCCTAGGAAAAGGGTGTCGAAATCAGTGGCAACGCGTAGGCTCGAAGTTCGAAGCTTGAACCTTCAGCAATCCTCCAGCGGGCATTCCTGTACAAGGTGCTCTGGCCTTGCGCGTCCATCAAGCTTAGCCGCAAGCCCTGCATCTCTGTACTCAGAGCTACGCGGCCACACGAGCACCGCGCTCCCCGCGCTCCCCGTGCTCCCCCGCGTTTCTTGAGCAGGTGGTCGATTTTAAGATGCGCCTCTAGAGACGCCCCCGAGAATCTACTGAACTCAGTCCTGTAAGCCTTACCATGCGTTGCCCCAGGGTTCCTATGCTGCACTTGGCTACCATTGCACCACTGCACCAACGTGTGACTGAGCAAGGGGGAGCGTTTTTCCTCCTCAAGGGGGGGGGGGGGGGGGGGGGGGGGGGGGCGCGGGTGGAGGCAGCTTGTGTCTATGTCGGTCTATGTCTAAATGAGTGGATTTTATGCTTTATCTCGAAAGCTGTGTCCCCGGCTTGGGCAGCGGGACAGGAAGAGAGCTCAGAGCAACAGCGCCGAGCTGGTTAGTTCTCTTCCCAGCTTCTTTATGCTGAAACCAGAAATCGGAGGGATCCGATCAAGTCATCTGGATGCCGATTTCTAAAAGAACCTCAAAGAACCCTGATCCTTTCTTGCCGAACTACTATCCCTGACTGCCCTTGGATCGGACTCCCCACGTGAATAGCCCTTCAAAATCCCGGGCTGCAACGGCGGGTACCGTTGGGCTCTGAGCCTCCAGGCTTTCGGGCTCAAGGGTATCCACTGCGGCGCCATCCCGAAGGCAACAGGCGCCGCAGCAATTTCTACACAAACCACACGTCAGCTGCGCGCGGCGGCAAATCATTTTTATCTTACACATCTTACACAACTAATTCATGCTGGGCAGCATGCAGACAGTGCGCTGGCTACTAGCACCCTTGACACCGGGAACCTGTCAGCTTTTCTTGGCTGAACGACCAATCCGCCCTGAACTCACTCGTCACGACTGGCTTGGGCTGAAGCCCTTGCGACTGCTTGCTGACTGCTAAGCTGGGGTGCAAGGGGGGGGGGGGGGAACAAATGTACAAAATCGGAAACATATTTGTGCATGTCTGATAATCCTTATGCTGCGCTTGCCAAGTTACCTTGTACAGATCGAATGCTGCACTTGGCCATTTACCTTGGCACGCACCGTGGCGTCCGTAACCTGCAGCTGTTTGCGCCTTTGCCCTGCTGCCCAACAGGGAACCATCCTCACATACGGATGTGGGATGCAGGCTTTTTTTCTGTGTTTTCTGTTTTGGTTCTGGGGAAAGGTAGGTACCCACTCAAGACATATCAGCAAAAGTAGCATCGCATAGCTTTAGAAGGAACGTGAAACTAGCATCTGCCCCAGCAACATGCAAGTCCAAGTCTGGTTTCATCAACAGAAACCCCTGCTTCACCTCTCCAACCGTGCTAGCAATTCCCGCAGTCATCTTATAGTCGAAGATGGGCAAAACCGATGACCGCATCGACCCTTAACAGGGTGGACATGGGTAGCCTTGCCACAATGTTCCGTCGCCGTTTTTAGCTGTCCCACTGACCCACGTATAAAAACATGCGCCGACCAGCCCGATTGCTAGCAATACGCCAACACAACCAAACTATGTTGGCCCAGGCGTTGGTTCCTTGCTGGGGAGTTAAGTCAAAAATTGGGCCGAAGCAGTTTGCAAGGACTTGCTGCTCATGAGCCTCACATGTTTGCTCCACACTCCACTCACCACCGAGTCGCTACAACCTCACATTGTGTGTGTGTGTGTCTGACACACAGTGACGTCGAACGCCTGACTCACAAACTGCAAAACAAGGGTACTCGGCGATCTTATCCAACGAGTTCCACAGAACAAGGGGGAGGCCAGGACCAAGCCTCAGAAGCAGAAGGGCAGGACGCTACTGCCCCTGTAGCCAAGAAGGGCATGCGGCCAAAGTGTCGGACGAACAAAAGGAAAAAAGTTCGTGCATGCCGGCGAGAAACGCAAAGAGTGGCTGATTCTGCACTCGAGAAGGTGGCTGGGGTGACTGTTCCGCATGAGGCTGCGAAAAACGCACAGAAGCAGAGACCTTTTCCAGGGTGTGGGGAAGGGAATTTTGCGAGCAGATGGGGTGGGGGTGGGGGTGGGGGTGGGCGAGGAGGCGGCTGCTCTTGCCACTATAAACCCGTGTGTCATTTGCAGTTCATTTTAATCTGTTAAACCCTATTTACAAACAGCACAATCAAGGAGATTGGTTTGTTTTCGCTGTGACTAAAATCGCTGGCAATGTAGCTTCCTTTTTGAAAGTTCGTCAATAGGTCTGTAAACGGGCTTGACCGGCCCCCAAACCCTCTCTTCCAACCCCTCCTCCCCCCCTACACCCCACACCCCTTGTTCTCCCCACCCTTCATTTTCATTGCTTCTATGACACACACACACACACACACACACACACACACGTCTAAGAGTCATTCTACACACGCTCCCGCTTTAAAAACGAGCACTGCTACGGGCACAGACGCACGTAGCTGCAGCAAGAAGGTGAACAAACACCGTTGAGCCGACCGCAGTACCAGTACTAGTTCTAGTACTAGTACTAGTACTAGTTCTAGTACTAGTACTAGTACCTAGTACCTAGTACCAGTACCAACTAGTACCAGTACCAGTACCAGTACCAGTACGTCGTCGTCGTCGTCGTCGTCGTCGTCGTCGTCGTCGTCGTCGTCGTCGTCGTCGTCGTCGTCGTCGTCGTCGTCGTCGTCGTCGTCGTCGTCGTCGTCGTCGTCGTCGTCGTCGTCGTCGTCGTCGTGGTCGTGGTTGTTGTTGTGGTGGTCATGATGTCCGTGTCGACCTGTAGTAGCTGTAGCAATAGCGACGCCATTAAATGGATCATAGGACCGTGATGGACTCCATCTGCTCTAGCTGCTCTGGCTGTGGGCAACCCACCTTTCCGCACAGATTCTGGCTCGCCTGGCAAAACAGCCCAGGAAGTCATCCGCTCTGGAGGGTTCGGGTCGATCGCAAGAAGCCACCAGGATTCACCACATGCTCTCCAAGGGACATCTGTGGGTTGAGGCTTCTTTTTGCGGTTCAGTGCCTCAACCCCTCCGCCCCAATTCAAAACTTCTTGCAGAATCTGGGCTTAGGGCCTGAGGATTTCGTGGCGATACTTGACCAGAAGATTGAGAAGTAAAAGAGCGGTCTAATCCTTCTTTTGAGTGAGTATCGCATGTAGGACGTCAAGGTCCGTTTTCGAACACTTTCACGCAACCCACCCTGCGTCCTTTTGGCTTTGTTACAGTACAGTGCCCAACAACTTCAACCCCAAAAGGCTGACACGCCCTGAAGAACATCTTGTTTGCCCCCTACGCAGCTGGGATTGGGAGAGTTACAGCCTAAACCCTAAACCCTAAACCCTAAACCCTGAACCCTAAACCCTAAACCCTTAATCCTCAGACCCCTCAAACCTAAGTCGAAAACCGTTCGGGTTCTCCACTGGCTGGCAGCTCCTGCGGTTGCCCCAACAAACGCCGCCGTGCACAAACTGCCAAGGCATCTGGGCGATCCAAACATCCTCCCACCTACAACCATCTAGAGGTAATGCGTTTAGGGTTGAGGGTTTAGGGTTTGGGGTTGGGTTTAGGGTTTAGGGTTTAGGGTTCAGGGTTGTTTAGGGTTTTAGTTTAGGGGGTTTAGGGTGGGATGTTGGACTTGAATGTCGTTTTTGGGGCTGCTTGATGAACTTCCATTAGTGAAAGGAAGGCAATGTATCCTCAAGCGACGTATAGGTGGCTCAGGGCTGGGCGACTCCGCGTGCGGGAGACTATGGAAAGCCATGAGCTTGATAAAAGCGTCGTGATACTGCCACGGCATACATGAATCGCCATCGATGCCCTGAAATAGTGGAAACAGGGATGTATGATCTTGATCGAGAACTCCTGCCTACCGAATCTGAGTAAGAGGAGATGCAGCACTGTTTCCGCACCATGTTCCATTCCGCAAAACCCAAACCTTGAACTCTAAACCGTGTAGCATCCCCCCTACTATGTTCAACCGCAAACGTCCAGGAAACGCTGTAACAGAACATCAGCAAAAAGGCCCTAAATACCTGGAGCAAACCCAACTAAAGGATACGAAAGGCTTCTTCAAAGAATCACCACCCCGTCCACGCTGCGCGCCGGCGAAATCGAGCGTGACACGACGAAGACGGATGAATCCTCGGGAAAGTGAGGGGGCGGAGGGGGGGAGGGGGGCGGCTCCGCGTCGGGTTCGGTTTCGGGCAGGGGCAAGGACACACAAACACAGACAGCACGGACACACGGACACGAGGACACGCGGACACGCGGACAGGCGGGCACGTGGACACGCGGACACGCGGACGGACACACGGACACACAGACAGAAACAGAGCGAGACAGAGCGAGACAGAGAGAGAGACGCAGAGAGACGCAGAGACAGACAGAGACAGACCAGAGACAACAGAGACGGAAAATGACACAGAGACAGGCACAGAGACAGATGCTGAGACACACGCTTAGACAGGCAGACAGACAAACAGACAGACATGACGAAAACAAGTATGATGCACACACTGACTGCACAGATCGCACAAGCAAGTGATTATGAAAATCACCAGACATGTCCCTGAGAGCCCTCATTGACTGGGTGGTGCCATACACCTAAATAGGCAAGGTATCATCTAACTGAAACATGGGGGATGAGCATAGCCAGAGACGTTTGAGGCAGGATGCAGAAAAACCCTCTTCGGCCCACTCATGAGGGTCCCCCCAGTCCAGCAGCCTCATGAATTGCAAGGCTTCTTGCAAACCCCCAAAACCTGACCCACCAACCCCCCCAACTGGAACACCCCTCACTCCCAAATCTCACCTCCTGAACGCAAAAGTAACAGGACGTTGGGACCCGTACCGGCTTGTCGCCAGAGTCGTCCACAAGGGACCCACAAGAGGTGCCTGGGTGAAAACTTACGGTTTGGGGAGAGTTGGAGGCGTACTTGGGCGGGGAGTTAGGGTCAAAGAAGCACCCACCAGTCCTGGACAGGCTCTGGCCTTAAGGCCGCTCAAGAGAAGAGGGCCCAAATCCCTACCAAACCCCTGTTGGCATGTTGGCCCTCCGCTTCCTATGCTGCTCCCTATGTATTTGCTCTTGAAGCTGAAGCTGCAAAGCCCCACAACAGCCCTGCACACCCCCTGAAGCCCCGCAAAAAGAGCTCCCAAAGAGAAGAGAGTCGTCGGTCTGCTGCCCAAGCGACTCGCCGAGGAGCTCCGTCTCTTGCACTTGGAAACGACCTCCCCACAGTTCTTCAAAGGAATCGCCCCGAAAAAGCTGCTAAGCTGAAAGGTGCCGTCCTCATCCGTCAACTTAAGTTGGCAATGTGCCATCCCTTCAGCGACATGAACACTGCACTGTCGAAGTCTGCTTGAGATTTCAAAATTTGGTGATTTCATGCCGCATGCTGCTAGTTGCTCGCCTGCACACAATCGAGAGATGAGAACGCCTCTTCAAATGTTCTGGCTGCTTTCCTGAGCAGAATTTTCACATTGGGAGTTGAGCTTTGGGGCGGGACGAATAAATCTACCGAACTTGAATCAATGTGTCGTTAGTGTACTGTAGGCCTTAGAACAAGATCGATACGGCGTGCAGAGGAATGCTCAAGTGTCGATAGGGCAGAACCAAACGCTCAAAGATTGCACCGTACGACACCCACCGTACTCCCCACAAGCCCTTGATCCGCTTCATCATGATCCCTTCTGTCCGTCCAAGAGGGCGCAACCGGCACCACCCCTCAAAAGCCCAGCATCTTCCTCACTTTCTGGATTTGGTGTGCAGATGGCCCCAGTGCAACTGTGGAGTGGGCGCCGATGTGCAGGACTACCTCGGCTTGGACGAAGTAAAGAGTTTCGGGAACACAAGTGCTAGGAGACGAGGGCGTCCCTGTTTTGTTCTTTTTTTGTGTCTTGAGGGAAAGGAAATGGGCTTCGAACTAGGCTCCACCCAACTGCACAAATGTCGCTCAACAACTTCGGGTCATTCAGGCCTCCTAGTTTTGGGGGGGCCATGTATCTTTCAGTTGCACAAGCTTCTGAAGTTCAGAGCAGGGTCTTATGTGCAATTCTGGCCATGCTCCCTACATGTTGTGCCAACCCAGTGCACCCACCCTGGGTGGACACAAATACGTCTTGTTTTGGCAATGCCTTCTCACTGTCTCTGTCAATGTCGTGATCAACATACCGAGAAGCTCTCTCGTCATTGGCGATGACATAGCAGCTGCCTGGCAAATTTTCGCATGGCATCCGACCAATTCACGGGGCATGAAGGGAGCGAGTCCAAAGACCTTACCACCACCACTTCCCCATTCAGCGGGGCTGGGTGAAAAAAACACCTGGCAGCAAGAGCGTTTTCTCTGCCACCCACTCTCAAAGCCGATGCCGGCATCGCAGTCGTCATAGTTTTTATTGTAGTATGCTATGAAGGGTGGGCAGAGGAGGGGGGAGTAGGAATGAGGGTGGGTGGCAGTAGGAGTGGGAGGGTGAGGGAGTGAGTGAGGGAGGGAGGGAGGAGTAGGGATGGAAGGACGTTAGGGTTCAAGGTTCGTTGATACCTTTTGCCTGTGGTTCCGGGATGCATGTGGCGATGGGTTGTCAGACTTGATGGCCCAGCCTTGAGGAGGGTCAACAGAAAAGGTTCGGGGCTGCGCTGGGCGTGCAAGCCGCAAACCATACCCAATCTGCTCTAGCAACCGTTTGCACACTGACAAAACCTATGTCAAAAGCGTTGCGTCGCTGCAAACCGGCCTTGCTCTCCAGGCAAAAGCGGAGTTCCTGGATCCTTCCACCAAGTTCACGGCTCAGGGCATTGCACAGGAGATTTTGCGTTGTTCTTGTGGGAACTCTCGTTTTGCAGGGCTCCCGAGCAATGGAGTTGAAAACTGGCGTAGGGCGACCTGGCATGGCGCAACAAGTTCAGGAGGCGTTCGGTCTGAGGGTTCTAGGGTCTGTGCTCATTGATGGTCCATTGTTGGTGCGTTCATGGCTCGGAGAACAAGTAAGGCCAGCCGCCGAAAGGCTACACACGCAAGAAGGCCTCAAAGTTGGACCAAATCCCAAACCGCTCCCAACAGAGCCCTGGAGATGTCCTTTGCGCTCATGCGCCATGTGACGCGCGTCGCCTTGGATCCCAACCCCCGGAAACGAAGCCCCGAAATGCGTTTCCGTTGCCGGGCTCAGGGCTCAGCAGTCGCGTGACTTTGTTTCGCACATGTCACACCACTCATTGGAACACATGCAGCAAGAATTCGAGGTTGAAACTGTCTAGAATCTAGCCCCGATAAGTATTAATGTGCCCTCAAACCCTCAACCCCAATGGGCCCAGGTACATGAAACAAGAGAATGCCGCAAGGTTAGTCATGCACCAAATAAGCTTGAACAGGTAAAGTACCACATAGACAACGCGACAACAATTTGTCCAGCCACAAGCCACCCAATCCCGTACTTCGAGACAAGCAACGCAATCGGACCAGAAATCTGCGATCACGCTGCAGAAAGGCAGCTTGATGACCAGGAACCTCAGACGCATCCTCCCATTTAATCGTGTCTTTTGTTATCAGGCACTTGTCGGATATTGAACTGTAGAAGTCAAGCGCTTCTTGGGTAGAAGCCAAGCCACTGCAGGGGCAGCACCCCAAGGTCTCCGAGCACCTGCCACGTTTCGAGGGTCTCAGAAGTCGTTTCAGGGTTGCTCTTTTCGGTCTACAGCTCCCGCGTGCTTTCGGGGTGCTGGGGTGGATCTTGCAGCGCTTTAAAGCACTTTCTAGATACATTCATTGCAGGCGTGAACCTGCAAGCACTGACGCAAGCTTACGAGCAGGCACAATTAATACACAACGAGGGCACAGCTTGCTACCTTGCAAATCGTGAGCCAAGCCATCACAGCCTATTCCGAAAGCCAGGTGACTGCAATAGCAAGAAACGTTATACCGTCAGCGTACAGCTAGAAACTTCGAAAGTGGACCTCTTGAAGCCCTACACCTGTAACTCCCTATAACTCCGTGTAACTCCGTGTAACTCGCTCTTGGCAAGACGGCGACGATTCATGAGGATTCGGACACGTTCTGCCAACTTCCCCGGCATTCTCACAACCCTTCCCCCCCCCCCCCCCTTGCATGCTCGAGTCACTCAAGTCTTCTTACAGAGTTGCGAACTGACTTGGCACTTCAGGCCTTTCGAGTCGGTGTTTATCTTGAGCTTTCGGGTTAGGAGCCCACTTGGAGGTTCTTAACCAAGTAATGTGATTCTAATATGGTGGGTTACTAGGTACAGTGATTATTGGGTTAATAAGTACCCTAAACCCTAAACCCTAAAGTACCATGAACCTCCAAGTACGGCTCACACCTGGCTTCCTGCGGCAGATCTTGGACTCGACGTGCAGCCCACGGATGATACGGATGGCAGCTGTTGTTGAAGGGTTTAGGGTTTAGGGTTTAGGGTTTCGGGTTTAGGGTTTACGGTTTAGGGTTTAGGGTTTCGGGTTTAGGGTTTAGGGTTTAGGGTTTCGGGTTTAGGGTTTAGGGTTTAGGGTTTAGGGTTTAGGGTTTAGGGTTTAGGGTTTAGGGTTTAGGGTTTAGGGTTTAGGGTTTAGGGTTTAGGGTTTAGGGTTTAGGGTTTAGGGTTTAGGGCCCCCCTTTGCCCATCAACGCGATCTCCCTTCCAACCCCCCGGTTCCTTCTGAGCTTGGTTCACGGGCGCACGAATGGCCCAAGGACCCAGAGACACGAACCTATTTCGTGGGCACGCCCCGGATGGGAAATTGGGCACGCCGCGCACGCGTGCACAGCGCGTAGCTTGCCGTGCTGTCGAGGATTGCTGATGCCGTGAGCGAAGCTTGGACGCAGAAACGACTCCATGTCCCGGATTCTCTTGAAATCAAGTTTCGGCATGCTGCGAAGTTCTTCGATGTGCAGGATCCTAGAGACAGTCGGCGCCGGCGCGGTGAAATCTGGGAATCTCGGCAGCACCTTGCCACCTCCCAACAGCAACCCACTCAACATCTCACAACCCTGTCACTTCATCTGCCTTGCAATCAACATGTGTAACTGTCAAGCAGGAACCCACCTGGACGTCGCACTCGCCCTTGGCACCTACTGCAAATGCCCGATCCGTGAGGGCACGACCTGGTATCCAGACTGTGCTGTGTTACCCTAAACCCTAAACCCTAAACCCTAAACCCTAAAGCGTTGGGGGTGTAAAACAAGTCTGCATGAAGCGCAGGCCTGCTAAGCAAGAAGGGTGCTGGCAACTGTTTAGAGAATTGCATCACGGCAGGTTAGTTGCCATTGGGCTCTCAAGAGTAGACCTGTCTAGAGAGCAGCTCACCCAAAAACTCGACGATCTTCAGCCGAGTCTGCTCGGAGAGTCGTCCAAACTCCAATTCGTTTCTCATCCCCAACCACTCGTGGGCGACACTGCCCTAAACCCTAAACCCTAAACCCTGAACCCTAACCCGAAACCCTAAACCCTGAACCCTAAACCCTGAACCCTAAACCCTAAAACCTAAACCCTGAACCCTAAACCCTAAACCTGAAGACTTGTGGGGGGCATCAACCAGGCTTCGCGCACAAGCTTCGGGGGTGGGCCTGCAGTGCCCCTCACCTCCACACGGACCGGCTGCTTGAAGCCAGACGTGCACTCCTCTGCTTTGGGTTTAGGGTTTAGGGTTTAGGGTTTAGGGTTTAGGGTTTAGGGTTTAGGGTTTAGGGTTTGAGGGTTTGAGGGTTTGAGGGTTTGAGGGTTTGAGGGTTTGAGGGTTTGAGGGTTTGAGGGTTTGAGGGTTTGAGGGTTTGAGGGTTTGAGGGTTAAGGGTTAAGGGTTTGGGGTTAAGGGTTTAAGATGGTTTAAGGGTTAAGGGTTTAGGGTTTAGGGTTCAGGGTTTTAGGATCTATGGTTTAGGGTTTAGGGTGCGATGATTGACGATGGCGATTGGGGGAGGGTGGGCGGGGATGGCTTTGAGCTCATGTGAATGACGGCGGGGCTGAGAATCTGATAAAGATCAAGAGGCCCTTCATCACAAAAAGCTGCCTAGATCAACCTTCTTCCGGCTATGAGGTGTTGCTGATGTCAGGCAAGGATGGGAAAGATGCTGCAACCCCACCGAACCCAAGCCACCTAAAGAGAAACCCTCTGTCCCCAAACCCCACAACCCTCAACCCTAAACCCCTCTGACTTGTCGCTCGAACTTCCTGAACCAGAACTAAGAATCACAACATGAACTGGCAAAATGAGCCTCTTAAATCAGGATCTGGGGTAAGCGGTCTCTTGGTTGGCCCAAGCAGCAAACAGCCTGAGGTTTGAATCTGGAAGCAACCCAGCCGAAGCCAGCGGCTGAACCGGCTACCCCACTTGAATCGTCCTTCTCAGCCCCGGCCCGCAAGCTCCCAACTCCAAATTGTGCATTCTCGAGCCTAAGCGTCCAACACCTCCCATGAAGCCCTCGCAGCTCTACGCAAGGTCCTCTACATGTCTGGCGACCACCGCGGAGGGGCTCGTCAGCACTGCTTTGTGCACTTCGTCCGCGAAGGCCTCTCCAGGTTTTTTCAGGTACCAGTAGCTGCGAGCAGCCTCCGCTCTCTGGAGTTTTTGTCCACCGATATTTTCTCAACTACGTAGCTTAGGCTACTTAGGAAAGAGAAGTCTTTGTCCAAGCGCTCTCAAGCTCTCCAGAACCTGACTGGAAACATCACCAGATGCCCTCATAGCGGCCCACAGCATGCAAGAAAGAGTCCCCACGGCCCCAGCCGTAACCTGAAATGTCTGAAGCCAACATGCTTTCTTCTTAAGGCAGGGTTTCCGGTTTAGGGTTCAGGGTTACAGGGTTTAGGGTTCAGGGTTCAGGGTTCAGGCTTTAGGGCTTAGGGGTTGGGGTTAGGGCTTAGGGGGTAGGGTTCAGGGTTTAGGGTGTCGGGTTTAGGGTTTAGGAGCTGAATTTCGGAGCCTCAGAAACCCCTTAAATTAACCGCCAGCCCAAAGACACCCCCAGAAGCCTCTCGGATGGCTTTGCAGCGAGCCTGCTGTGCGGCGTTGGGCTCAGGACAAAACCGCAACGATGCCTAAAGCCAACGCGGCACAAGAAAGTGTGACCAAGTGTGCCAAAAAGACTGTTTCGACTGACCATCATGCCAAGGACTCTCACCCTAAACAAACCCTAAACCCTAAACCCTAAACCCTAAACCCTAAACCCTAAACCCTAAACCCGAAACCCTAAACCCTAAACCCTAAACCTAAACCTGAAACGTTAGAAGCCCTCCACGGGCAGAAACACTTGCCGGTGGGTGCCGCTGCTTCGTCGCTCTCATCAGGGCTCTCCTGCTCAAGGCGAAAAGAAGGAAAAGAGATAACAGGGCTGAGGGTTCAGGGTTGAGGACTTGGGACTGATCATGGTTTGAGGTTCAGCAAAACAGTTCTCATGAGTCTTGGTCGTTTGCTTATGGTACGCCATCAAGCCTACTTTTTGTTGAGATAGTTGCTTGGCCAATTCCGTTTGTGCGTCTTGCTGGTCGTTTGTCAGTATGTCAGTTGCGCCCATCCTCAGCACAAATATTTCACCTAGCTGACACAAGTCGGCGACTAGTTAGTCGGCCATTTGGCCTATTTGCCTAGCTGTCTTGCTCGCTCGCTAGCAGAGCACTGCCCCATGAAGACATAACATATTTTCAGGATAATGATCCAGGGAGATACCACACTTTGGCCGGAGAATTAAAATAGGATCTTTTTGCTTTTTTTGGGATTTTTTTTGGTGTTTTTTTGGGTTTTGGGTTTAGGGTTTAGGGTTTTGGGTTTTAGGGTTTTAGGGTTTTAGGGTTTTAGGGTTCTAGGGTTTTAGGGTTTTAGGGTTTAGGGTTTAGGGTTATTAATGATTAATTATTAATTGAATCAATTATTCAGTAGTAGTAGTACCAGTAGCAAGGACAAAAAACAAAAAAACACCCAAAAAAAAACCTTACAAAAAATAGACCTCCTACCACAATGTCAACATCCCTTTTTCCTGCATCAGAAAAGGACACTGGAAGCAAGGCCCTAAACCAACACTCTGAAACAACCCAGCCCTACGCTCCAGAGGATCCAAGCCGTTGAGGCCAAAAAAAAGCCGCCAGAATCGGATCCGCCCATGAGGCTCGGAATCAAGCCCTCAAAAGCTGCTGTAAGACGCCTGCAGGAAGACCTCCTGTATAGCGGCCGCCCTCACAACAGCAGGGGGGTTTTAAGGGTTTTGGGCTGCGCCTCGTGTTGCTTGGCCCCTTTAAGGGCCTTGAAGGTTCTCGGGCTTCGCCTCGGTTATCAAGTTTCGGGAACCTTGGGCTTCTTGAAGAGCCTGATGAAATGAGCGCATCTAAGCCAAAACCATCCCAAACCCCCCAACAAAACTAGACTCCTAAGCCCAAACCCAACAACAAACCATCCCAAACCCCCCAAAACAACAAGACTCCTAAGCCCAAACCCAACCACAACCACAACCACACCAAAGCAGGGAGTGGATGCTGGGGGGAACCATACGTGCCCTGAACCCGTAAACAGCATTTGGGTCCTAGGGCCGTGCTTTCTGCGAGACTTTCTTGCTAGTTTCAGCGACAAGGGGTCAGGGGTGAACCGGGCCAGGTGATATTAGCGCCTCAGGCGTTAGGAACCCTGAAGTCCCGTCCAGCCTGGTCCTTCTCAACGGCTTTCCAAAGGAGAGGCAGTCAGCAATGGCCTCGCGAGCGAAAGCACTGGGAAGGCTTCAAATTCAAGACTTGGGCAAAAAAGGCTTTCATGGGATCTAGGTTTCAGTGGTGTTTACATCTGCTCCACAAACCGATGTCATTCACAGAACCTTGTAGAGGTCTACTCCGGTCTCTCAAACTCTCGCTCCACGGAACCAGGTCCTCGCCGAGGCATGGGCAACAGGCTGGGTGTCGCAGACGACTACGCAAGCCGTGCACCATGGAATTCGGAAACCGGAAACACGTGACCCGGGAGGTAATAAACGCGGATTTGGAAATTGGAAAGCGCGGATTCGAGCGGAGTCGAGAATCGCAACGTGCTTGAAAGCACCCTTCCCCAACCCCCGTCATTTCCTGAATCACATGGTTTGCCTAGCCTTGGCACCCTGCGAGCATCCTAAATGTTCAGGTTGTCTCTGCGTCCCTATTACTATTTACCGTGCGCTGAAAGCCCTGCTCTCAGAACCAAAAGCGCTCTCCAAAAGCGACTATAGCCGTCTTAACATCGTTTTCTACCACCTAACTCCAACAATATCAGCATTCTTATAAGGTGGAGCCCAATAATTAAAACCGCTCCAAGCTAACCGTAAACCCTAGCCCTAAACCCTAAACCCTAAACCCTAAACCCATTAAGGCAGACTCCGCCTCTGCAGCCAGGACCAGCACGGGCAAGGCCTCCTCCACGGCCTCCACAATCGGCTGACTTTCATCAACTGGGGTTTGGGTTTAGGGTTTAGGGTTTAGGGTTGAGGGTTTGGGGTTTAGGGTTTAGGGTTTGGGGTTTAGGGTTTACGGTTTAGGGTTCCGGGTTAAGGGGTTTCGGAAATTAGGGGGGGGTACATTATTTGGGGTGCTTGTTAAAAGGGATCTCCTACTATTTTGGGGATCTATATTCGTTGTGCCTCTATTTTCGTAAACCCCCACATGGGCTTCGTAACTTCGGGGGAGGCGGGCAGAAAAGCCCCCTTAGACCGTAAACTGCACTCCAGAACCCGGGGCGATCTCGTAACAGCTTGGCACACCAGACCCCCACCCCACCCCACACAAAGGAATAGTAGCCGGTCAGCAGAATAGGCTTAACAGCACGAAGCACCTAGCCGGGTCAGGAAGAACCACTGCGAGTCGCCCACGTCACCAGTAGCCTCCTCTGGAGAGAGGAGCGCCAGATGCGAAGTGGCTGCTCGGCGGAGAGACTCCCGCATAGCGACGAAGACAACAGGGCTCTACAGCTCCCCCAAATGGCAAGAACCCGAGCTGCAAGAGGACAGAGCAGAAGAAGCTTCCGGGGCGTGGGATCTTGCCACGAGTCTCGCTGTGTGTATGGGCCCCTCCAATCCGTCAAGCTTGCTCACCAGGGGAAAGGGCTTGAGCTAAGCGGCTCCAGGTTGCGAAGGGTTTGCCCTACTGACATCTGCTCAGGTTCGTAAACCTGCTCAGCCTTAATCTGAGACTTGCAGGACAAGTTAATGCAAACAATCGACACCCATTTCAATGCAAAGACCAAGCCTTCTTGAAATCAGGACGTTAGAAGTCACAGTGCAGCTTCCAGCATTTTAGGAGAGCGTTCTGGGCCCAATGAAGTCAGGGAACAGGTCTACGAGTCGGCTCAGACGGACTTAGTGATTACACCCTGCAGCCCTCAAAACGATGATGCCTTGGAGGGTTTAGGGTTTAGGATCTAGGGTTTAGGGTTTAGGGCTTGGGTTTAGGGTTTAGGGTGAGTTTCTTTGCTAACGAGCATTTGGCATCGGGGCCACATATCTTCTCGTCACCATAGCAGTATGCAGCCCATAATCCCTGGGCGCCTCTTTTCTTCTTGCAGCGGCACACGGCCACGATTCTAGGTGGCAGCCAGGACCCGACCCCCTTTGCATCTAAAGCTAGAGAACCCCCCCCAACTCTCTCTAGCACACGTCGACCTAAGACCCTGAACCTGAAATCCCCCTAAAACCGGCGCCAGGCCCGGCCTGAAAACTCTCGGCGCTCTTGAGACACTACCTGCCGGGCGGCTTCACCGTGGGCAGAAGGCTCACGCGCTGCGCCGTCACCTTGCGCTTCGGCAAGGCCACGGACTGACGCCTCAGGGCTTTAGGGTTTAGGGTTTAGGGTTTAGGGCTTAGGGCTTGGGCTTAGGGTTTAGGGTTTAGGGGCATTCTAAAGAACCTTTTTTGTTTGGAGAACACATGAGAACACGTTCAAGCCATAAACATGCTCTAGGGGCACTGTTGGTGAGGGCTTCGGGATGGATCGAGGTTGCTCACAATTGGCTATGTAGTTTCTGAGCCATCATTCAGGGCTGTGTGTCTAGAGGCGGAAATGAAGGCCCAAACCGAGTCTTGTCTTACGTTGACGTTGAGTCTTGGCGGTTCCTGGCGATGGTTTTGGCGGGGTCTCAACGGCATATTCAGACTCCAAGATGCCAAGAACAGCAAGGGCACGCACAAGGCCGGATTCCAACGGCAATCGCACCAGGAAGATGCCGGAGTTGCTGGGAGCGCAGTGCATCGTGAGGATGATTCAAGTTTCTGGCAAAATGACAGGGGCTTCTGGGAGTTGGGGGGGCTTGGCTAGCCATCTGTCAGCCCAGGAATGGCATCAAAGAAAGGAGCAGCACGCGGGCCAGTCGGCCACAATGTCGGAGGTGGCGGCCATGCTTGGGCCAGCTCAAGGACACAGAGGAGGCCAAGAAGCAGGCTTGCAACGGCTGGACGGCCGGGCAGAGGGTGGTAGCCCTTGGGCAAGGTCATGCAGTGGGTCACCGAAGCTCAACTTGTGGTCACCAAACTTAGTACAGCCGGATCGATGAAGAATGAACCCAAGGCGCCTTAATGGTTCATGCCGGAGAAGATGCCAACCGGTTCCAAAGCCTTCTCAACTGCGCTCTGTGGCAGCTCACGGAGGCAGGACATACAAAATCAGAGCAGTTTTCATGGTGTTTGATGAGGCTGGCATCATGGACAGACACAGCAAGAAGACGGACTACGCGTTGCACCGAATGCCTTGCCACGTCTGGGAGGCCCGAACGCTAGCTGCTGAGAAGGTACGACACGAGCATGTTCCAAAAACACATCTCAAGCTGATAAAACCCCAGATGGAGAACATGGTGCGTGCACGGAGCAGGAAATGTTACGTGCTTTCTTGCTCCGTGCAGCTTCCGAGGCTCAAACAAGGGCGGTGCTCACGGGTAAACCATTGGATATCCCAGTTCCTGGTCGGACCATGTCGGAACCCGCGGTGTCTCGGAGCTTTGATACCATGCAGAATGCAGATCGACTGGGCCGCCGTATGGGACTTGGGGCGGACATCATGAGGGGAAGTCGACTACCCGTGTGCAGTAAAGGGCAGTTTTTCCCGGCAATCAACACGAGAAAGGTTGCATGACAAATGGTGGCGCGCCGGCAAGATGAGTGTCCCTGCATTCTGCGCAGATTCGTGAAACAGTCATGACGATGTGCACGCACCGATCGAATCGTGTTTCATTGTTCCGGTGTCCGGCATTGCCAAAACTACTGCTTTTGGGATGCTTGGTGCAATGACGAGGTAATTAGCGTACTTGGACATTCGAGAATGGCTGCGTGAGGCTGACCACAGCTAGCTCTTCTACGCTGGTTCCCTGGGTACCGTTTCAACTCTACAGATCCGGTGACGCCAGAAACCTAGTATCCCTAGACTGCCACCAGTGCAGAGCTTGCTGAAAGCTTTGGACTTGGAACTGAAGCTTAATGACAACGCAGTTGGATCTGGATTGTCCAGCGAGCAGGGGCCCCTCTAACCACAACTTAAAGCCTGAAGAGGGTCACGAACAGAGCCCACAAAGCCTGGAAGCTCAAACCATTCCAAGACTCCATGCAGCCAAGCTGCGGTTTCACACTGTGTCGCTTTTTGGGCTGCTTCTGCTGCATCTCCCTCAGCAACAGGGGTGCCGAGCGTAGTAACTGAAGCAGAACACATCTCGTTGAACTGTGACTTCGGGCGCAATGGGGGTAAGGGGGTACTGAACCCTGATGCGACCATGTAAACCCGCACAACCGGGTAGGCTCGTCTGCTGAGGGCAGCACTCGATCTCCTTCGCAGGAGGTTAGACATCGGTTTCTGAAACACTTTTATGTTGGGGGATAGGATTGGGGAGACCCTTGGGGATATAGACCCTCCGAATAGGGTCCCTGTTTACGAGAGCCAGAAGAGGTTTGAGAAGGGTAAACTCTGGCTGGTGCTCTTGTGTTGCCTTTGCACACAACTCTGAAGCGAACTTGCTGAGGATCTTCGAGTGGGATAACAGACTTGGGGTGTCTAAACCCTGCTTCACCTCGGCAGTCGAGCTTCGCTGTCCCGAATCCCTAAACGCCAGGCTCAGACCAAATTCATGGCCACCACTGCCAGACAAATGAGCCCAGGAAAAAGTCGGATCATCGTGGCTCCTGCTCAAGGTCCTGGACTTCATTCTCAAGGCGCGAGCGCACTCGCCAAAGCTGCTCCTTGGCCGTGGAGCTTGGGCTTGGGGGGTTCACCGCGCCCAAGGGTTTCGGAGGCTTGCGGCATTCAATGGGCGTAGAAAGTTGCGTGCTGCTTCCTTCAGCCGAAGTGCGCCTGCAACTTGTGCGCTGGTGTTGACTACTGATATGTCTGTCGTGGTCCTTGCACTGCTTCATTCTTTCGCAAAGGCTCCTGCTTGAAGGGTTCAGGGTGCAGTTGCTTGCATTTGCAAAACGTTAGGGCGTTCCTGTCAACAGTTTTGAGTGGCGCGATAGCTTGTCACTTGCAGGACAAGATCCTGTTAAACTGGCGAAGAATGTGAGAGCGCCAACGATTCAAAGCCGAAACCAAAAACCGCAAACACAAAAAACAAATGGTTGAAGTCGTGCTCAACGCCATCCCGCCTTCTTCGTGCGATCTGGCTTGTTGCGATGAATCAGCTGCCGCAGCTTTGCCACCCGCTCCTTGGCATGCTCGCTGTTCTGGGCTGAGGGCTCAGGCGTGTTTAGCCATGCTGGGTTTTAAGTTTAAGCTTTAGGGTTTAGGGTTTAGGGTTTAGGGTTTAGGGTTTAGGGTTTGGGGTTTGAGGCTAGCTTGGAGGCTGGGGTTCTGAGCCTTAAGATTGGGAAGAAAACCTAGCCATAAGACACTTGGAAACTGCAGGCCCCGAAGCCACAAGAGAAGAGAAGAGAAATGCGAGGAGGCCACCAGCCCAATGCAAGCACATCAATATGTGCACCCCTCCCTCGCTCCCTGCATCCCTTCGCCCATCCCTGAAAAGTGCACACTGACAAACACGTGCCTCGGAAGCCTTCATGGGTTCTTGAAGGGCGTTCTTCGTCCTTGGAAAACTCAAGTCGTGGTTCATGGCGGGTTTAGATTTTAGGCGTACGGTTCAGGGTTTGGGGTTGAGGGCTTCTGTGTCCCCCCATGGTCCATGGTGGTTTGCAGGTTAACGGGCAGGGTTGTGGGGGGGAGAGGCATGGGGGTCGGAGAACGCGGAGCGGGCGCATACCGAGCTCAGCCCACTCGTAAAGCTTCCAAGTCTCGTAAGCCGCAGACAGACAGAGAGCGCGAGAGAGAGAGAGGAGAAGAAGAAGAAGAAGAAGCGGAAGAAGAATAAGAAGAAGCAGAAGAAGAAGAAGAAGAGAGCGTTGTTCTTGCTGACGTCGGAAAATTTGACCATATGGCTTCAGATGCTTAGCACTCCGACGAGTCCCAAAAAGCAACAACAAGTTTGGGTTTGTTGCTTTACAGGAAACAAGATCGATGTCGGAGAAGCTAGGAACACACTCAGGGAGCCCAGTACTCTGCAGAATTTGAAGGAACATCTTCACGAAGCGACTCCATCATTCCAAAGAAGACGAAACCTTGCAAAGCCTCCCGAAACCCCCCTGAACCCTAAACCCTAAGCCCTGAACCCTAAACCACCCTAAACCCTAAACCCTAAACCCTAAACCCCAAACCCTGAACCCTGAACCCTAAACCCTGCCCAGCATCTGATGGAGCTCATTGAGGCTCGCTTGGAGTTTGTCCACCTCTCCCTGCCGTCACCGGAGGAGACGGAAGCAGCTCAGAACAGATTTCAAACCTCATTGTCCCCCTGGCTCTTAGTAGGAATTCGGGCCCCAGATATACCCTTTAAGGGATTGTATAGCTCATAATCTAAGGGTAGTTTACATGGTCCCTTAGTATGGGCCCTAAAACCGGCCTACTTCCCCTGCACAAACCAAGGGCCCATACCTCAGAACCCTTTAGAGGAGGTCCCGGGGACCATCCTAAGGGCCCATGAGTCTACCCCGAGACACAGCAGACTTCAAACTCAATATCCCCCTAAACCCTAAACCCGAAACCCGAAACCCTAGACCCTAAACCCTAAACCCTAAACCCGAAACCCTAGACCCTAGACCCTAAACCTCAAACTCATCATGCTGACGCAGCCGACCGGTCCTGGAGCTTGCGCTGTTGGGCCCCCCAGGGGCCATAGTCCATCTCGCGTCCGATCTCAGCGATTCGACACACGTGTAAGTTTCTAGGATGGCCCTTTAAAGCCTGTGAAAAAATATTCCTGTGATCCCTCTTAAACCCAAAAAGGGAAAATATAAAAAAAGCCCAACGGCCTACCTAGAATTTCAGGGTTAGAAGTGTCTGCAAATTGGCCGTAAGACACGCGTGCATGGCATCATGGGAGCAGTCAGAGACAAGGTTCTTCGTACATCTAAACACGTGCACAAGCGTCTCCTCAAGTGCGAATACAGCAGTCCAGAGTCCCCGAACTCTAAACATCTCAAAACCGCGATCGAATCTTGAAGCATGGCAGCTTCTATGTAGGGATCTGGGAACCAGGTTATCAGTTCTCTGTGAGCAAGGGGTCAAGCACACTCTCCTGTCTAAAGGTTTTTGCGGGTGCATGAGTAACCGCGAGGACCATTCCTCCGGCCCCATTTGTCTCAGACCCGAAGATTAACCCTGTTAACGAACTCCAAGCACTTATGCCCTCAAAGCTTAGGGCTTCTGTTCCACATTTACCGCTGCACTCTCCGAGTTTAAGATGACGCCTTTTCTAGATAGCGCGCTCGAGAAACGAAGAGCCGGCCCGCTCACACCCCGTGCTACACCCCCATCTGCGGTGCAGCGACGGGGACAACTGATGGTGTAGTAGGATAGAACATTTGCAGAGCCTATAACATTCTTCCTTAAACTTGCATTGAAGTCACGTTCACAACTGTTCACAGAGTCTGCCAACCCATCAACCCTTCCTCCCGCAATTCCTGTCAGCTCCGACCAGGATGGCCGCCACACTGCCTCCACAAACGGGGTACTACCGGCTTTCGAGTTGCGGGAGGCTTGAGGATGCAAGGTCGAGTCGCACGAACCGTTTTCGAGCGTTCAGAAGCTACATGATTCTTGCATGTTCTGACTACACTACTGATCACTGCATCATCCAACCCTCAAGTGCGAGCTATCGTGAGCTTGGGGTTTGGGCTCTGTTTTCAGTTTGCAGAAAGGGCATTCTGGCCTCCAAATCTCTGCGGCAACGCGGTCATAGATTTGCTTCGCACGCGGCTGCTTTGTTGGGAACTGATGCCCCTCCTCGCGAGGTTTGAGGCGGCCCAACATTAGACCTACGGACATGGACGCAGCTGCTACTCCGGTCTTCCACTTTGTGCTTGAACGTGAAGAGTCAAGTGACACCCTCATGAGAACAGAACGCAAAACGATCACTAGAAGTCACGCGGCCTTGCCAAGGTGACGTACTTGCGCCATCAAACGCGGAACATTCTACCTCCCTAAACCCAAACTAACCCAAACATGCGTCCTCATGTGTGAGGATCACAGGGTCGACGTAATACTCCTGGCACAAAGCACATATTGGCGGAGTTGCAACTGAGTGACTATAAGTGAAGGGAGGGTGAGGCCTCACTGAAACCCTTGAGTTATGTTGTCTCAGGAATGAGGAATATGGGCTAATTAGGCTTGAGGCCTGTAATGCAAGGTTGCACCCAGGTCATGAATGCAACGACGAAGCCCAGAATCCGCAGTACACTGGTTGGAGTTCGGAGCTTCCATTAAAAGGATCAGAGAGTGGCCGAGGGGTTTTACCACGGTTCAGGGTCCACCGGTCCACCCATGCCGAGTCCTCCTGCGGCTTGTAGCCGAAGCCGTCACGGCCGTAGTCGTAGAATTCGTCCTGCTGGCCGAAGACATGCACCTGACGTCCCGGGGATCCCGAGAACTGCAGCTTTGAGGCCTAGACCTGAAGCAAGTCACGCCTCCAACGGCGCAACACAGCTGTGCCGAACCATGCGTACCGTGGGAGGGCATCTGCTTCGGCTTGACTTTACACCCTGAACCTTCTCACGATGCCACGTGTAGCATCCAAATTTGGGATCCAAACCATTCCTGCATGAAGCTAATCACGAAAAGAAGCTCCGAAATACCTGAAACCGCTCCCCCACGAAGGTTGCAGCCAAGACGCGGTCGGATGCGGCAGTGGCGTGTCAAAGAGATGCATGTACTCCTGAACACACAGTGCGACACCCTCAGGGCCAAAGGTTCAGGCTGAACTTCAAAACCGGAAACCCTACCATGGCCCTACACCCCTAAAGCTCTGTGACCCTCTTCAATACAGGACTCCGTTTGGCCAGTTGTTGCTTGTGCTCACAGTCAAGTCTGCAAGGCTGGAAACGGCATGGCATGGTGCCCTGGAGCCTTGTCGCGAATGTGCATGCCACAGAAGAACACCTGGGCAATAGGACTAGCCAAACCCTAAACCCGGGCTTCGCAAATTCTGAGGGCACCTTGATGAAACAGCAGCCCAACAAACTCAACCCATCCAAAAAAAACACTGAATGGACAGCCCCAAAATCTGGTACGACAGAACGAAGTCGATGGTGGCAAGGCAAGCCGCTCAGTCTCCACTTGCAACTGTGATGGATAGCTTCGTTGGCACAAGTACCATCACAAGGCCTGTGCCCGTCACCCTGCAAATAGAGCATACGAACCGACTGGAACAGGGCTGCCCACACGCACACATAACACAAAACACACACGGAGAGAGGGAGGTCAGCCAGAGATTGTTGTACAATGGTACACTGACTGGAGATGACTGGAGAGACCTCAGTACAGGAGAGACCTCAGTATAGGGGAATCCCATCGGGACTCCTGGAAAACATTGCAGGTACATGGAGCTAGCCAAACTCCACATCCCCTGATGCTTCATAGCTTCGTTGGATTGGGTAGAAGCATCAGGCCCAATCCCCCTGCGGGAAAATTCGACTCATGCATAAGCTCTCAGCTCCAAACCCCTTAGCTTAGAATCAGGGTTTACACACACACACACACCCCTCCTACGAGGGGAGACACAGTGCATTCCAAGGCCACAAGAGATATGCTGCACGCACACCCTCCGAAGAGGGAAAATCCTGGTCTTGTACCTTTGTCACCGGTGAGTCCTCCGCCACAGGCCCGTCGCCGCCATAGGCCCTCCTCCTCCAGCACCGACCTTAGAAATCCTTAGTGTCGTCGTCATCATCGTCGTCAGAGACCTCCAGCTGCCATGACAGGCCCAGGAGCGTCCGGGAGATCCCAGCTGCCACCGCCTTGACCCAAGGCACCTCCCATCATCGTCGTCGTCGTGGAGGACCCCCAGCTGCCACAAAGGACCCAGGAGCATCCAGGAGGCCCCCGCTGTCCACAGCGACCCAGAGCACCTCTACTTTTAAAGAAAGAAAACGGTCTATTTGCAACTGAGGGGCAACCACCGGAAATACGACTCGGGTCGAGACCCACGAATAGAGAGTTAGACCACCTCGTCTATGTCTCACGACTGGGCTTACGACGCCCTTCAACAATTTCCGGTTCCGCCCTTATTGGCGACTTTGAGCTTCAGCCGTGGCTGGTACCTCGAGAGAGAGAGAGAGAGAGAATCCGCTCATAGCACTGGGTGCCTACCAAGGCTCATCTGGCACTGAAGCCTCTCTGTTTACTTGGGTGATCCCCATCCAGGAATCAGGCAATGCCCAAACGGGTAAATTGCCCTTGGGCGACGAAGCCCACACACGGAGAGAGGGAGGTCAGCCAGAGATTGTTGTACAATGGTACACTGACTGGAGATGACTGGAGAGACCTCAGTACAGGAGAGACCTCAGTATAGGGGAATCCCATCGGGACTCCTGGAAAACATTGCAGGTACATGGAGCTAGCCAAACTCCACATCCCCTGATGCTTCATAGCTTCGTTGGATTGGGTAGAAGCATCAGGCCCAATCCCCCTGCGGGAAAATTCGACTCATGCATAAGCTCTCAGCTCCAAACCCCTTAGCTTAGAATCAGGGTTTACACACACACAAAAAAAAAAAAGAAAGGAAACGAAACCAAAAAAAAGGCGACGCCGTAGCGGCCCAGTGGCGCTCAGTCTCCACGGCATTTGCTCGGCACCGTTGCGGGTGTGATGCCAGCGCATGGAAGCCTGGTATCGAAGCTAGCGAGTTTCTGCATTCAAAACTCAAACAGCTGGCCGGGTCAGACAAGCCCTGCACCCTGAAACCTCCAAGAAGCCCTGCATCCCAGACTCGTGTCCCAAGCCCGGAACGGAATCGAATCCCTGTAGCTCGAGCCTGCTTGGCCGGAGGCTCCTGGCGGAGGTGCCCCGCCAGAAGATGCATCATGATGCAGCCCTGGCGTGTCACTGTGTGGAGAGGCAGGCTTCCAAGATGCGAGGGGGCCCGTTGGCAGGGAGGCGCGATGTTGCGCGTTGGTGCACAATCCGGGATGGCACAGTACTTGTATAGGCCAGTTCCAGCTACTACCCTAAACCCTAAACCCTAAATCCTAAACCCTAAACCCTAAACCCTAAACCCTAAACCCTAAACCCTAAACCCTAAACCCACCCAACAAAAAAAAAATCCGGGAAGTGCAAACGAAGCCTCCCGGCCTGGGAGAACGCCACCACGACGTCCCAAGGCCCATCCTCGAAGATCTGCTCCTTGAGGCGCTCCAGCTTCTCCGGGATTTTATGGTACCTTGGCGAAGAAAGCCGAAAAGAAAGAAGAGACCCTGTTTTAGGGTTTAGGGTTTATGCTGAAGCCAAGCTGTAGCCCTTAAGAGCCGGTTGCCCCGGTGCGTTGTCCCCCTACCCTGCATCCCACCTTGTGGATGTCAGGGCGGGCGGCAGGTGGGCAGAACAAGTTCATGCGACCTTATATATGCTTGAATCACCTTCTTCAGGTTATGACGCCCAATGGCCTAAGCACGAACACGCGTGTGAAAAAGCTATGCGCTGCAACGATGCGCTTCCGCTATACCATGCCAGAACATGCTTACTGCTTGGAGGACTTCGTCAGACCAGCACGCCACCGCAATAGCAATGTTGCGCGATGGGCCTGGAGGATGGAGGGGGGCTGCGATGGCGACGGCACCGTTTTCCAGGAGACACGGGACATTGGTTGTAAGGGAAGGCTGCCCTGGCGGAGGAAGGTGGGGTAGCCGAAAGGCAGAAATCGTCTTCAGGCGTGTAAGCGTTCCTTGGCACAGTGTAGTGTACGGGCGCGCTCTCGTTTGAGTGATGCCAGATGCTTGGGTTAACGCCCGGGTGGACGGCGGATCTTGGACAGAGTTTGCGTAGCCGGCCCACTGCCGGGGACAGGGGGGAGCAGTGCCAGAGCGCAATGCCAGGCTACAGCATGTGTTGGTACAGATGCTCGCCTCCCGGAAGGGATGGACAGCTTGTGAAGAGCGCCCAGCCTCCTGGCGGATGGCAGGCCGAGGGGGGTGCTGAAGCCAAGCTGTAGCCCTTAAGAGCCGGTTGCCCCGGTGCGTTGTCCCCCTACCCTGCATCCCACCTTGTGGATGTCAGGGCGGGCGGCAGGTGGGCAGAACAAGTTCATGCGACCTTATATATGCTTGAATCACCTTCTTCAGTTTAGGTTTAGGGATTTAGGGCTTAGGGTTTGGGGTTTAGGGTTTAGGGTTTAGGGTTTAGGGTTTAGGGTCAGACTCCTTCGGCTTCAGGGCTCCAGCTGAATGTTGGGCTGGGTCTCGAGTAGCGCAGACCGGACACGAGGATCTTCGACGAATCATCGAAGAATCTTCAAGAATCAGGAGCTGTACGCCAATGATGCAACGTGTCATTTTGGGGCAGGGGCCGCACCAAAAGCACAATGGTGATGGTGACCCGGTGTTGGCTTTCAGCTGATTTGCCCCAGTGAAATCCCGAAGAAGCTTTCGGGCAGGGCCCGATGACAGAGTTCTGACATCGGGCACGGGAAGTAAGGCTTCTGAAAGAGAGAGAGAACGCACGTTGAAGCATCTCAAGAAACATGCTTTCTCTGCCGCACTCCTTCAAAGCAAATTCGAATACCTCTTCAACGTTGTTCATCGATCAAAGCCCCAACCCTGAAGCCTGGCAAAGCTGACAACGTGGCCCGAAAGGCTTGGATAAACCAAGGTGCTCCACGCCTCAGTCCGTCGAACCACGGGGGATGTGTGTGCTTCGTTACATGTGGAGGATTTGGGGGTGCCGGTTGGAAGATGCATTTCATTTTCGAGGGTTCAGTGGCTGGGGGCCAAGGGATGCTAGGGCCTCGGATCTTCCAGGATTTAGGGTTTGGGGTTTGGGGTTTAGGGTTTCGGGTTTGGGGTTTAGGGCTTAGGGCTTAGGGCTTAGGGCTTAGGGTTTAGGGTGATGCTGGGACGGTCGCCACACTGGTAAGGCTCATAACGCACAAGGCTTTGCATGCTTGCAGACCGCAGTGGACTCAGTGGACTCAGTGGACTGCAGGTCTGACGCCTATCTTACTCCGCACCACATCACCAAGATTAAAGCCGGGTGAAATCCTTGAAGCATACAAGTAAGTCCCCAGGCTCGACAACGGCAACCTCTCTCAACCTCTCTCAACCTCTCTCAACCTCTCTCAACCTCTCTCAGCCTCTCTCAGCCTCTGTCAACCTCTGTCAACCTTTCACCCTTCAACGAAGGCACAACAAGTAAAGCAGTAAACAAACAGAAAAAATGCCTATACCTCGAACTCGAACATTCAAACCATGAACCTAACCCATTTCTTAGGCACAGTAGGATCATCTGGGATTGGGCACGGACGCGGTGTGAGGCTATCTTCCCGGGGTGTGAGGCTATCTTGCAGGGTGTTTTAGCAATTCCAGCCCTCCAAAATCTCAACTCCAATCCAAAATCCGCCTCATGAGCAAACCCTAAACCCTAAACCCTAAACCCTAAACCCTAAACCCTAAACCCTAAACCCTAAAACCCTAAACCCTAAACCCTAAGGCCCCTTCCCGGGACCCGCGCGCGACTTCGGATCGAACTGCTTCTCCCGATTCGGCTTCGTGGTTTTGGTTTCCTTCACTTCATCGTAGGCGACTGAAGGGCAATATCCGCCGACCCCAGCCGGGGGCGGCGTCAGTGAAGACCCACTGCTACGACAGTCCGCCAAGCGCTTGCCGCTCCCACCCCCCACCCCCACCACCCCCATCACACCCGCCCCACCCCCACTCCACCTCCCAACCCCACCCCCCAACCCCCCATTTGTGCGCAATAAAAAAATCTCAGCACACACCACCCGCTCTCCCCCCCACCCCCCACCCCCCCCCCCACACCCCCCCACCCACTTCCCACCCCCCACCCCCCCCCCCCCCACCCCCCCCCACCCTCCCCCCCGCCCCCCCGCCCCCCACGGGACCCCCCCCCCCCCCCCCACCACCCCCCACCGCCAACCATCCACCCCACCTCACCCCAATTCCCACCATCCCCCCCCCTCCGCCCACCCACCTCCCACGATGAGGCAGCACAACGCCCGCACACAACCACCCCACCCCAACCCACACCCCCCCACCCCCCCCCCAAAACCCCCCCCCCCCCCCCCCCCCCCCCCCCCAATGCTTTCACACAGTACACCCACCCCCCAATGCTTTCACACAGCACAGGCCTGCTTCACCCCCCTCACACTTGCAGTGCATGCCCAACCCTCGCGCCCCCACCGCCCTAGCGCCCTGCCCCAAGCCCCAAAGATATGAATTTCGGTTTTATACAGATGTAAAAAGATAAAAGATAACTAAAAGATATCTCCTTTATCTTTTGGTCTTCATGTTTACCAAAAACTCATTATATACTTTAAAATACTATGTGTATAGATATTAATTATACATAGAACTCATTCTTTTTAAATATTCATTTCTACAGCCCTTAACCCTAAACCCTAAATCTCGGAGCCTGTACTGGCTCTGCGGTTTGCGGGGCTGCCGCCCACCCTCCTGTCTCTGGTCGGCGGCACTGGCGGTAGCCGTTAAATCGGGCAGCGCGAGGTCCCCAAGGACCGAGCATTGGCGGACCTTCTAGCCCGGGTCGTCCCGGGAATAGCCTTGCTGGCCTCTGGCCTTCTGCGAAGCAGAATTAGGCCGGACGCCAGTGCCGCCGACCCCCGCGTGCCGCCGGTGAACGGTTTTTTTTTCGTGGTTTTTTGCGCAGAAGCGCGGGGCGAGCAGTTTGTAAGCATTTTGAGGCCCCTAAACTCCGTTAAAATCTCTAAGCGTTTGAGGCTCCTCAACTCCCTTAAAGTTTCTAAGCATGTTCAGGCCCCTAAACTCCCTTCAAATCTCTAAGCGTTTGAGGCTCCTAGACTCCCTTAAAGTTTCTAAGCACTTTTTAAGGCCCCTACACTCCCTTTGTCCTAGCCCCGGGCTGAGACACGTCGCTTATGCCCGCCCTTTGGGGGGCATCATGCTCCTGATGCGCCCCCGGGGTCCCGCCCCGGGAGCCGCTGATGCTCCTGATGCGCGCCTGGGGGTCCCGATAAGGCCCCTAAACTCACTTTTTCCTAGCCCCGGGCTTAGACACGTCGCTTATGCCCGCCCTTTGGGGGGCATCATGCTCCTGATGCGCCCCCGGGCTGGACCCGCTGATGCTCATGATGCGCGCCCTCTGGGGGCTATTTTTGTTCTTCTTTTGGGGTTCTTAAGCAAATCGTAGTAGGGTATCCAAATCTTACATTCAAGATTTGGGGGCTTTTTGAGCTCAGGCCTTCTAGACATGGGCCTAGGGAAACAGTCACAAACCAAGCTTCCCCTTCGTCAGCTTTGGAAATTCGTTTCCGGAGGCACGCCAGACCCCCGACACCCAAACCAAAATCAAGACGCACCACTCCAGACAAAACACAGACACCCACCCATACCAGAACCAACTAGCTGTCGCAAATGGGATCTCTTCGAGTATGTAGTCCTTGAGTGTGAGACTAAGACAGTATACAAGTTCATATTTACATGTACATCAGTATGTGCATTTATACAACGGCTTTGTTTGATATTTCTGAGGCACCTTACAGGGAATGACATCTAAACATCGGAAAATGAAACGGTATAGCAGTTCTGAAAACAAATATTTATAAGCGCCCGGATGCCATAACTCAACTTGAAATGCTATCGGAAATCAAACTCACCTTCCTTTCGAGACTTACAGAATGTGAACGACGATATCTAGCTTGTTGATTACATGTTTGGGTTCCCCTATTCGACTTCTATGAGAATCATAAACCCTAAACCCTAAACCCTAAACCCTAAACCCACCTTTAAGACGGAATGGGAAGATGCCTTGCCTGCTGAGTTTTTCAGGCCCCTGCTGACCAAGATCCGGATCCCAAAGCCCCCAGGGCATACTTCCATCCATCAGTCCCAAAACCCTTGAAAACTATTTAGGGTTTAGGGTTTAGGGTTTAGGGTTTAGGGTTTAGGGTTTAGGGTTTAGGGTTTAGGGCTTTGGGTTTAGAGTTTAGGGTTTAGGGTAAAGGGTATTTACTTCCATCATCTCTACCCTACAGCTACTGGACGTGGGAGCCATCCTGTCGTTTTCAGACAGGTAATTCCGGATAATTCGCCGCAGGCTTCTGTCGCGGGACTCTCTGCGGGCTTTTCTGGGTCACTCCAGGATTCTCTGGGGTGGTACCTCAAGGGCCCTGCGACCTTCTACTCCAAGGATACTCGGTGGGACTTTCAGGACTGTTTGCGGGCTTCTCTGGGACTCCAGTGATAAAGGGCGAGAGTCTCTGCTCCAGGGCTACTCAGCAGGGCAAGCAGGCGAGGAGCATGGTTGACTTAAAACCCAACCTTTGGGAGGCCTTGAAGGATATCTGCGAAAGAAAAACTTGACGTTGAGGACGTCGACATAAATGCTGAACCGATGAGGACGCACGCGTGCTGGAATTTGACCGTCTTACAATCAAGACTCACTCATCCACAGATCCTCCATACATCTGCTTGAACACACTGGGGTGTGGAGAGATCAAGGTGGGACCTTGAAACTCTACATCCAAACAAGGTCAAGCCAGGAACCAAGACAATCCGAAGTACCAGAGCGCCGGAATGAAATCCCCACGTTGAAGTTCGCTCCGCACGCAGATTTTCTATAGTAGTATCATAAGATGCATTTCTCAGGCCAGTCCCGCACCATTGACGCGCCATTCAAGAGAAAGCCCGCGCCCCTCCGGCTCTGTCCGCCCGGCTCGCGGAAACATCGACTTTCAGTACTCAGTTTGTACTATACAATTCAACGAAAATCTGGAGACCCGCGCCATATCCGGGCCATCTGCACATGGCATTAGTCAGGATACTAATGGGTTACATCCGCTTAGGTTCGGATGTTCGGCGAGGCGCAATTTTGGAAGTCGAAGCTCCAAACTCCCCTCCCTGTCTCTAGAGTCTTGCGTGGAACCCTGCACAGCACGTTCCTCGTAGATGGAGTCCATGTACCAGTTCTTCAGCTGGGCACCTCAGGGGTGCTGTATGGGATGAGTGGTTTGGGCTTTGATTTGAAGCCCGTGTTCCGCTAAACCCCTGACCCCCAAGTCGTTGGTCATGAGCGTTCGGCAGCGATTACCTTGGGAGTCTTGAATTATAGGCTCAGCAGGGGTCTTGAATTACAGGCTCAGCAGGTGCTCCTGTACCCGCAACATCCTGTCCTTTCAACTCGGCTCGGCTCTTGTGCTTGTGGGGTGGCGGATGACCAAAACCTCCAAGCCAAACTTTGGAAAACACGCAACCAAACAAATACAAGGGATTAATGCCAGAGTCCTCAATCTTGCAGCTTGCAACCCTCCGCTTTTAATTACAGCTATGAAACCCTGAACCCTAAACCCTAAACCCTACGGCCTAAACCCTGAACCCTAAACCCTACACCCTAAACCCTAAACCCTCAACCCCAAAGCCTTTGGCCAGCTTCTGCTCCATGTCGCTGACGATGGGCTCCCCCTCGTACCAGTTCCAGTCCTTCCGAGAGAAGTTGCACTTGAGGGCTTTAGGGTTTTAGGGTTTAGGGTTTAGGGCTTAGGGTTTAGGTCTAGGGTTTTGGGTTAGGGAAAATACGCCGCTCTTGTTACCAGCGAAAAGCACAGCCAACTACTGCGTGCATTGCACCGCCGTGCCCTGCGAGAATGCTGAGACTTGCAAGAAGTTGATCCGTCGCAGAGCAGGTGAATTCAGCTTCCATTATCCGCTCCGGCTCACTGCAGAAGAACGGCGGTTCGGCAGGGAGCAGGATTCATGCACATCAAAATCCACGTAAGGCTGCCTCAACACGGCATATGTCAGCAGACCAAGACGGTGGAGGGAAGGTCGCAGCCAGCAGCACTAGTGAATATATCGGTGCACGTTAATACAAGTTGTAACATGGCCATGCATGGTCGGCCATGCCATGCCATGCACATCAGGACTCGAGGCCGCAAGTGAAATGCTTCCCTGCGGGTCCTCTGAGCCCTCGATGAAGGTCCACTCCTCAAAAAGCTCGGAGCATTAAGTGCCATTCGGGGATGTTTGGAGTCTCAGAGCTGTCTGCGCACCGTCCCCTCCCCTCCATGGTATCCGGCTAGGCTGTAGGGTTTAGTTTCACTCTGCCCCCGTGGTTCAAGGTGGATTTGGGGTTCAGGGATTAGGGCTGCAGGTTTAGGATTTGCACTCCCCGTGGCGGAATAAGAACATGGCAGTGATGTTGTGGTGGTGGTAGCACCGTGATACTGATCTTATGGTGGTGACGGTGGCGTGGTCGTGATGATGTGGTAGATATGTGCTTGTGGGGGGGGGTGTTGTAGAGGCATCTGCAGCAGAGGTGGTGCGCTCTAAAGAGCCCACGAGATCGATACACTCTGAAGCGCGCCCTCCAACGGCTGCTTGGCGGCTGCCAGGTCCCTGCCCACAGCTTGTCGCAAGGCTGCCGTCTGGTATCTGGCCGAGGTGAGCTCATAAGGGGGGTCGCGGATGTTTTTTGAAGAATCTCAGACTCAGGTTTTACCTTCGAGGTCATGCCTACAAGGTCTACAAATGTAGGTTTCAGTCGGGTGCATTTTTGCCAGGTAAAGTGGTAAAGTCACAATGCAATACACTGAAGGCACCAACGCTTGTTTGCTCTGGAACTCTCGGGGGGGAGTGTCTTGCCCGCGCCACTTGGGCAGGCAATGCCTTTTGGCCTGTGGTACTTTGACACTTTTCTTGTCGAGGCGGTGCAGCAAGTCTCAGCCTCGAATTTGGAAATTGGAGGCATTTCGTTGGTATTTTATTCGCCAAGGAAAAAACCCTACCTAGCACGGCAGCATCTTCAGACGCTCAGGTTTCAGCGGACGCCACCCGCGCAAAGTGCTGAAAGACCCAATTTTTCTCGACCTCACACTTGGCTTGGCTTGTCGACTCCCGAGCCAAGCTAATGCCAAAAAATGGGAATCTGCGAACATAGGGAACCCCCAATACAGATCCACAAATAGTAGTTTAGTAGGATCCCCTATATATCAAGAGCCCCAAAAAGGTAACCCCTAATTTCGGAATCCCCCGTACGTAGCTTGTGGAGCATGCCGAGCACGATACAAGGAAGTGCAGGTGCCCACCGAGGGCGCAGGAACATGCAATGCTGACCTTGCTTTCCTTAGGTTTCACAAGCAAGCTTCTGGTCTGCAATAGCTCCTCGGCAAGGCGAAGCGCATATACGGACACCATTGCACATGGAAAGGGCGGGGGGGCGGGGGGGGGTGGGGGGCCCTGACATAACAAAGAGTCAAATTGTTCAGGCGGCATGCTTGCATCATCTCAGCTAATGTCTGTCAAATCATGGCCTCCTTCACACAGCATTAATCATTAAACTACTCCAAGCCACATTTTTCAAAATCGGGTACGTTTGCACCACCCATCCAAAGCAACCCAACCTGGTTTTAACCAATACCTTTCGTTTCAAAAGCAGGGTTGTGTTTGGCCCTCAACACAAGACCTAGCAGAAAGAGGCTTCCCAAATGAACAACCAGAACCTCCTGCACGTCAACTGCGAGCGAAATGAAAAGCTTTAGACCTTGTGAATGCCTGGTCTGGATAAAACTTCATTTCAAGAGTCTTATCGCGAAAACTGAAACGAGATGACTGATTTGTTTGTCTCTTTCCAGGCTATGGAGCATTGTCTCCACTGATTTCATGTATCGCTAGCTCTTTACAAACTGCAACCCCAAAAACCTGAACCTGACCACGGGGTGCAGGCTTCAGGCTACAGGAAGCGGAGGGTTGAGGGTTTAATGTTACATTTGGACTTCATACGCTGCAATACCAAATGCATTGAAAAGCAGCTGAGCCCCCTGAGACCCTGAAGCGTTCACTAGAAAGCACCCGGGATGGCCTCAGAACTTCAGTGCAGGAATGGCCTGCCCGGTCGAGGTTGAGATTCAGGACTTCAAGGCTTCAGGTTGCTAGGAGGGGCGCTTTTCCTCTGGACAGTCTGCGGGCGTTGCAGGAAGTCTTTTCCAAGTTTCGGCGATTTGGGCTACGGTTCTTGGGTTCAGCGGTACTGGTTTCGTCTCGGGCGTCAGATTCGACCATTGGGTCGGCGTCCAGAAGCTCGCTCTCATTGCTTCAGCAGCAACGAGCCCACCTTTACACCCTAAACCCTAAATCGTAAACCCTAAACCCTAAACCCTAAACCCTAAACCCTGAAACCTGAACCCTGAACCCTGAACCCTAACCCTAAACCCTAAATGTCCACGAACCCTGCACTCGCCTCCTGTCAGCGCAAGGATGCGCAGCTTGCGGGGGACCATCCTTGGGTTGTGCAAATCAGGTTGTGGCTTTTTAGGGTTTAGGGTTTAGGGTTTACGGTTTAGGGTTTAGGGTTTAGGGTTTAGGGTTTGGGGTTTAGGGTTTAGGGTTTGGGGTTTGGGGTTTAGGGTTTAGGGTTTAGGGTTTAGGGTTTAGGCTCTCGGATGCCCTGGGGTGCGGGGTCAGCAGTGTCTGGGCATGGCTTGGGTCGCAGATTCTGTCGGGACAGCGTTGCATGTGGCATGCGCAACTGCTCATTCTACCGCTTGCAGCCTCTGTGCCTCATAGCCCGCGAATTGAACCCTTAAACATCCGAAGTCCTCTAGCCAAGAGACCGAAATGATGACCACCTACTTCGACTATAAGTCCCAAAATCTAAAAATCAAAGCCCTTCGAAGCGCAGCGCCCTCACCATCCCACGCTAAAACACTTCGCCACAGCTGAGGTGCTGCTCCATTTCAAGAACGGGTGGTGCCGTAGGCTTCGCCTCGGCCCCGGGGAGCTGCGGAGCTGTAACGACTTTTTCGAACCGGGTGTTGTGTGGCAAGGTATCAGGCTGGATGCCTGAGTCCCAAGCTCGCTATCCCCGTGACCCATGCCCAAAAATCTACACCTTGAACACCCGGCATGCAACCCTACGTGAGTACGTGTAAGATCGCCAAGCAAACTCTCGGAAACCTCAAAGGCTCCTGTGAGAAAGGACCCCACTGAAAAGGACGCCGCGGGGCCGGCCGACGTGGGCGCCGCCATGAGTGGAGCTCGCTGGGGTCGTAGCCTTGCGGCCATGGATGAGATTCTGCTGTGGAGTGTCGGTATCCAGGTTATTTGTGTTCTCTAAACGAGGTTTGGTACATGTTTGAGGACTGCTTCAGATTGCTTCAGCAACCGGGCCTTCAAGAATTGAAGGTCATGTCGTTCCTTGAACGGCAGTCAACTGTGAGGTGGGATAAAGATGAGACGGCTGACTGAGCTGCCAGGGTGGTTGGGGAAGCCAAACGATTCGACTGAGAATGTGAGGCAATCTTTCATTTTGCTGGCCTCTCTGAAAAGGTCGTAGCAGCTGCTAAGATGCTACAAATCATCATCGCACAACGAGGGTCATAATACATGGGATGAAGCCCACCGAATACTGCAAGCAGGACTCATCAAGGCTTCTTTGCAAAGATTTGGGGTGAAGCATCTTTAGGAGACAGAATCAAGGTCTTGAACTACCTGGGATCCTTGAGCCTTCTTCCTGGGGGGGTCGTGCAAATTGCCTGCAGCGATGGGAAGTCCACAGCAGGCCCGCACTTCCTTGGCCACTTGGGCGTAGAGCACGCCTGCGCGTCCCCCAAAATGCAAACCCGACGCCCATGACCCAGACAAGGACCTGAACGCCCCACGCAAGGACCAGGGGCTTACTCCCCTAATGAGCAGGTGGCTCCTTGGGCGTAAGGCTTGGAGGTCTTCAACTTTTTTCCCGACCGGTTCACTTTCGGGGTGGCTTTACATCGCAACTGCAGGGCTTCAAGTTCTTGGATGTTGCAGAAGAATGACTGTTGGGGGTCACTTTTTGATGTGACTTTTCAGGGGTTAGCCTTTAGAGGCATTCTGTGTGTAATTGCAATGGGCCCGGCTTGCTTCCAGGACGGAGGATTCTCAGGCCCCGACTAACCTCAAAGCCGAAACTAGACTCCAAACCCGAACCGTGAGGCTGAACCCTGAACCCCCCAAACAGTGCAAAGAACAGAGTGTGTAGTTAGTGGTGGTAGTTGTGTGCAAGTTTGACCCCCAACAACCACCCGTCAGGCTTTTGCTGGTCTTCTTTGGAAGTCGTTCTCCTGTTGCTGGGGGTTTGTTTCCGAATCTAAGGCCCGGAGTTGTTGGGGTTTGGCTGGTTTGTGCTGTCGGGCCTTCTTTGGGACATTTGGGCTTTCAAATTCTTTGCGTCTGAAGGTTTTGCGCTCAAAAACCGCACTTTTGCCCCTGCGGCGCCCACAAAGCCGGGTCCGTAGGATTTGCGTGCTGGCATTGGGGTCAAAAACGACATACGGTGCAACGTCGACCTACCGTGCAGATGAACCGACAAACCCGAGCTTCCCTACGAAGAGACCCACAGACCAACGACCTGCTTGTGGCTGCAGCGAGGGCAGACGATGCCCCTCAGCGTGCTCAAGGACCAGCGCAGCCTGGATCAAGTAACCGAGGGAGTTGGGCATTCCGAGTGTAAGGAGAGCTTAGGGACTGGCTAGGGCTTTTCGGCTATGGCTTCGGTCGACATCTCATCGCGATGTGAGGCTTTGGAGCCCGAACCCCGAACAACTGCAACCCTGCGAAGAGGTGTTGCGCATGGGTTGAAGCATGCTCTTCAGCATGTTGAGGGGGTGTTGAAGGGCTCGAGAATCGGGATCGGAGCTTGAAGGCTTGAAGGCTTGTGCTTGTAACTTCGGGCGGCATGGCGCAGGATTGACTGGACGTACCCCAGCACAACAAAACGGTCGCCTCGTAGTAGTCCTCGGGAGCCAACCGCCCTGCACCCCTCGGAAGGCTGCAAAAGAGACTCTGACCGCATCTGCAGGGGTTAAGGTGAGGGAGCAAAGTCTGACCAAGACAGGTTCAGGGTCTGAGGCTGGAGGCGCCGCCCTCTCTTGTCAGCCAAAGTGCAGCTTGTGGGGTCCTACGACCCTTGCTGTGTCCTAAAACCTAAACTCCCAAAACGATGAGCTCAGGCTGAAAAAATATGATCAAAAACTACGCCCTGCAAAACAAAAGTCGGTGACTCGCCAAAACAAACCCTGGAGCTACAACTGATTGGAGGTTCTCAAGCGGCAGATGTTTAGACCCATGTGGCACAGCCATGCTGCCTGCGGCCATAGAAGTAGTATTCGTCGTTCTTGCCGAAGACGTGGATGGTCCGGTGCACGACCTGCTCATTTTGGGGGGGGAGGCCAGGGTTGCAACTGTAGCGTGGCCCTTGTGTCAGAAAGCCCTGGCATGCCCTGGCGCACACATGGGACACAGACTGAACTGTCAAGACTTTACGGCCGGGCTGATGTTTGCTGTTGATCCCACTCGCAGCCTTCGACCCGTCAGCAAAGGCGGACAGGAAGCGGTCCTTAGCCAGGCATTTCGCGCTTTAATCAGCTTTCCAGAAGAAAGCCTATAGATGTTGGCCAGCTTTAGTTGTCGGCGTTTAGTGTGAAGGGCGGGAAGTACCTTCTTTCAGTTTTTGCAGGAGGCTGGTCGATAGATAGGTCAGGGTCTTTTCTTGGACGTAGTTAAACTAGCAGGGTTCAGGGAGCACCTGCTCAGTTCCTGCGAAAAGCTGGGGGTTCCCGGGGTTCCCGGCTGATTCTGGCACACCCGGGAGAGGTTTCGATTGGCCTTTTTGGCTTTCTTTTTCTTCTCACGTGAAGGGGAAAGGGGAAAGAGAGTTGAGATCTTCGCAGCGGCAGCCTTTGACTGAAGGGTTCTGAACGTGACCAGTAAAGCCTGGATCCTAAGGTCCTAAACCCTGCATAAACCCAGATCCAACAAGAAGACAATTTGCATGTCGAGAAGCATCACGAATGGGCAAGGAGCCAAAGAAAACCGTCACTGGCCAGGGCCTCATGCTGGAGGGGGGGAAGGGGGATTGGCCTGATGTTGGGGCCTACCAGCTTCGAAAGACCGAGCTGCTACTAGAAGTTTTGAAAGCAGTTGAATGGCAGAGTTTGTTTCAAACGGAGTTGGAGTTCTGTCAAACTTTCGATATTAAGTTTAGGAGTTAGGAGTGTTAACCAATGACAGTAGGCCCACAAGCAATGACAAGAATACACATTACAACCTGATAAGGGGTCGCTAACACGAATGCAGACGCCTGTCACGTACACCACGAACATAACAGACGCAACACGCCACACGAGCTCGGAGCTAAGGTGTCTGACGTTTTCTTGTCTACATTTTCTCATCTCTCAGCTCAGTTCTGTCTATCTTTCATTATTTCCTTTGTCCTGTTGTGTCTGTTCGTCATCTCATCTCTGTCTTATGTCCCTCTTTCTTCTGTAAACCTCTCTCTCTCTCTCTCTTTTCTTCTTTCTTGAGGGCGAACCGTGCACTTGGCGCGCCCCCCGTTTGGGGTCTGTCTCTCTCTCTCTCTCTCTCTCTCTTTCTTTCTGCGCACCTAAACCCCCCTCTATTGAGGAGGGCCGCCCGAAGGCGTGCGTTACAGGGTTCTACGGGTGAACGGATGCTGTGGGATAGCTGGGAACCTGCTCCAATGTTAGGTCTCTCTCTCTCTCTCTCTCCCTCCCTCCGAGTATTCGAACGACGAAGTGACGCTTTAAACAAACAACGACAGTTGCGCGGATGGGGGATCGTAAACGTCAGCACTTTTGCTGCTCGAACGGAAAACGAAGCTCCAAAAGTGACGACAGCTACAAAGATGACGAAATTTGGGTGCCTTATCCCTTCTTTCTTCTGCCTCTGGGATCCAAGTGGTTTTTCGGCACCATGAGGAGAAAAAGCAGTTCTGCTGAAGCTATGCGCACCAAGGCACTTCAAAGAAATAAGAATTACACGTCTGATGACACACCGGCAAAATGGCTGGGCGGTTGCTGGACGGCCTCACGAATCTTCCAAACAGTTTTCTTTTCGAGTTAAAAGACGGGGTTGAGGTGATTCAGCCCAGATGCACAGGTTGTCTTTGGCTCAGGAGCTTTGCAGCTGCAAGGTGCACCACCTCTGCTCAAGGAACAGAACGGCCGGACTGATCAAAGTCAAGGCGATATTTGGGTGTTGGACGTGTCGGCCTTGGAGTTTGGGCTTGAAGGTTTGGGGTGCCCGATAGACCTGTAGGAAGGGACGGCTACCGGCTTCAACCAAGTCTCCGCCAAGGCCTGAATCAAACCGCACCAACCTCCAACACACGCAATCGGGACCAGAACTCCATGCCGAATACATTCGGTACGTAAGCAGCTCAATATCTAACGGTACAACGCAGCTGGTAGCAACCGTAGTAGTGGTAACTGTGGCTTTCATGTCGAATCCAACGCTACACAATGCTACAATGTAAGGAAACCCTCACCGTGACTTCACGAAGGCTAAGCTTTCCGAACAAAGGCCGTCTTCCAAGCACGAAATGCGACACGAGAGGCGGGAAGGGCCCCCCTCCTAACTGCTCTTGTGCGTGTTACGTGGGGGGTTGCTGTGGTAGTTATTAGGATTGTTTAAGGTCTCTTTTGCAAGCAAAGCCACGATGCTGCCCTCGAACATTGCCACAACCTTGCTGCCGAGAATTCAGATGGAATCGCAAACGTGCACGGTGCAGGTTTGGGGGGGTGTTGCTCCCAGCAAAGCGCTCGTAACTCCCTGCAGCCGCTTCAACCTATACATCTAAGGGAGATCGGATTTCGGGTCGTTGGGGGGCTAGTGCAGTGTAGACTCGTCAGCCCGCTTCTGTTAGGAAGGAACCTGGCTGCCCCTTAAGAGCGAGGGCACAAGCACTTGCAACCTTCATGCTTCCGAAGCGGCGACATCCACGCGGGGCCCGTTCAACACCCTGTCAAGAAGCAGCTCGATGGCCGCATCCACGCCATCATAGTTGACACAGACGCCTCTGCAGCATCGGCCCGCTACATCCAGGGAAAACCAGAGAAATGCAGGGATTCAGGATGCGAGGACGCGAGGGTTCCTAAGGCTCTCCTAGGCCCCACTACGCACCTTCGCTACTCGATGGCGGTGACAGGTCTTGCGCAGAGGAGGCTGAGCCAAGACGACATCACAAACCCCCGCGCCTGGGTCCTGCTGTTGATAGAGGTCCGGACGATCCTCTGGGGTTGCACAGGAGTTAAGGCTTGAGGTCTCAGGACTCCCGCGGAAGCCTGAAAAAAGTGGGGTGGGGGGGCTAAACAATGCTAAGCTCTGAAAAGGCTCTGAAAGGGACCCCCCGAAGTAAGGAGTCCACATGCGGCCACACTTTTCCCCGTTTCAGTGGCGTGGCTTAAGGCCGGCGTGCAAAGGTCTGTCAGCGCTTTCAACACACCGGGCCCCCAAACCATCGCCCTTTAGCTTGCCATGTCTCACGCCCTCCAAAGACTGTTGTGATTTGTGCCGTGCTGTCCAACGACATGTGCAGGTCCCAACAAGCCAACTAAAAGCAAAATAAGCCTGCAGACGACTGATGCTCATGTTGGTTCGAGTGGTGCTGAACAGCCCTGGGAAATGAGGGAGGAGCTGGCAAACACTAAACAGTCTGAAGCATCTCCTCCTAACAATATTCTAAGGTGAGCGGAATAATCCTTAGGCCGTTAAGGTGTGGAATACTAGTACCAAGATCTTCAGCAACACCAACTGTGCCAGGAGACTCTCTTGTCGTCCGTGGTGTGCGTAAACCATACCTGCAGGACCAGAAAGTCAAACACCCACCCTACACCCAGAACCTGAACCCACCTAAACCCCAAATCCATCTCAATCCCTGAACTTTAACCAAGGCTGACGTCCAAGGATATCAAATTCACAAAGACGTTTACTGAGAGCGACGACCTGATTCTTTCATAACTTTCTGAGCACCCACAGTTTCTGTCTTCACGCCAGCTTTGATTCTTGCATCCCCTTGCAGGTCCACGTTGCCACATTCCACAATTCCACGTTTCCGCCACTTCTGCAACCTAGCGGACCGTCACCCATGGCATCGCCCCTCAACGCCTAAACACTAAACCCTAAACCCTAAACCCTCCTAACCCCTACCTACCCTAAACCCTAAACCCTCCTAACCCCTACCTACCCTAAACCCTAAACCCTAAACCCTAAACCCTAAACCCTAAACCCTAAACCCAGCCTTGAACTCTTTGCCTTTGGAGAGGTTGATGGACATGGGGTCTGCATCGTGCAGGTCCACGCCGGGCCTCCGCATCGCAAACTCGACGTCACTACTCTTGAGGAGGTTTAGGGTTTAGGGTTTAGGGTTTAGGGTTTAGGGTTTTAGGGTTTTAGGGTTTTAGGGTTTTAGGGTTTTAGGGTTTTAGGGTTTTAGGGTTTTAGAGTTTCGGGTTTTGGGGTTTTGGGGTTGTGGGGTTGAGGGTTGAGGCTGTGAGCCCTGAGCAGCAGACCTGCAACCTGAAACCTGTTTGCACAAGGCCTTACTCCGCACCCTCCACAGCCAATGGGAAATCCGCTCTGCCGCCTGTAAGTCCAGGTAAGTCCCCCCTCCAGAAAATCGAAGTCTGTCTCCTGGCGATTGGCTCTTTCATGGTTTGGCCTTCGGCAGGGGATTCAAGTTTCAGGGTTTGCGTTGTCCAGTGTAGGGCGTAGAGGCTTGGAGTAGAGCTTAAATCGCGATCAGCAACCCTTGCAGCCTTAGGGGAGCACGTTTCGAAATGCGATCGACCACCCTTCGCGATGTGCAACGCTCCGTCACGGAGCCAAAAAACCCTGCGTTGGGCGACTGACCACCCTCGGAGCTCTCAGATTTACTCCGGAGCCCTGCGTTGTGCAAACTTCTGACCGCATCGACAGCCCTTGTCGAGCGAAAGCCGTGTCGCAGCTCCGAAACCCACACGTTTCAAGCGCGAGCGACGAATGTTACGGGGGCACAGCTTGTCGTGGTGCCAAACCCTGATTTGTGACCACGCTCGGATTATGGGAAACGTTGCGATCGACTGCACTTCTCCAACACTGCGCACGCACGCCGCGTCGCTGCGCCGAAGCCGTGCAGTCGGACCACGCGACACATTTTTCCTTCGAGGAACGTGCGAAAACCTCGACATAGCCTTGCAAATCACGTTGTGCGAGTATCGCATGCATTTCTCCGCCTGGAATACATACGAATGCCACGCAAATCACGTGACATCACATGCTTTGTCGAAGTTTAGTTTAGTTGGGAAGTTTCGTACATTCCGTAGAGGGTTTGGTTTTCCTGTCTTGGAATGTGCAAAAGCTGTCGTGTCGGGGAGCGTACGCAAATAACGTTGCGGGAAAAGTAGTAAACGAAAATGTCATCACAACTGGGAGGTTAGGGACTGTACGAAAACATCGCGAATCACATGTTTCCGCAACTTGCAAAGTGCGAAAACGTCGCACATCACATGGGGCTGCTTCGTTTCGTCTCTTTTCAAGAACGAAGACGTCGCCAATTACATGGGGGAGGGTTGTTAGCTATGAACGCAGAGTTAACTTGGAAAGTACCAAAACAACGCAAGTCACATGGGGAAGCACTGTTGTCCGTTCTGCTTCTTGAGAACTGCCCAACAACACGCCCGCCACAACAATAGCACAGCCACAGCACCACCACACCGCCCACCACACCGCCACCACACTCCACACACACCACTCTACATCACCCCACCGCACCAAATCATTGCAAACCACCACTGCCGCCTCCACCACGATCACTACCCACACACCACCCCCACCACCACCACCACCACCACCACCACCCCACCACACCACCACCCCACCACACCACCACACCACCACACCACCACACCACCACACCACCACACCACCACACCACCACACCACCACACCACCACACCACCACACCACCACACCACCACACCACCACACCACCACACCACCACACCACCACACCACCACACCACCACACCACCACCACCACGCCACCACACCACCACACCACCACACCACCACGCCACCACACCACCACACCACCACACCACCACACCACCACACCACCACACCACCACACCACCACACCACCACACCACCACACCACCACACCACCACACCACCACACCACCACACCACCACCACCACCACCACCACCACCACCACCACCAACACCAACACCAACACTAACTCCACACTCCACACACACCACTCTTGCCATAAGAGCCTGAAATTCAGAAATCAGACTCAGTTCGGCCCCCCTTGAACTCAAGCTCAACGGAAGGGCTCTCTGGTTTCTCCTTGCCGAATGCCGTCTTCAACCCAGATATCCTCGGCTGAGAAGCGCTGCGGACATGCCATGTTGTTCTCAGGCCGTGCTGGTGGCTGTTGTTGCGAGTACATGCACCTTCCTTGCGCTGCTTGTGCCTGACTCTTGAGCCGGATGTTGAGGGTCGTGTCTGGACTGGGGGGCCTCTCTATGGACTGCGCTGAGCGGCTGGAAGTTGGCCAGGTTGGCGTTTGACTGCCTACCAGCGGAGTTTATGCGGACGGGCTTGGGTTCCGGACTGTCCAGCTGTTACATGGTTGATGCTGGGGGTGGAAATGGGGTGTCGAAAGCCAATCCGTGGCGAGGTCATCCCTGTCTTGGCATCCTCTAAGCCTCCCACGAATGCCTATGGGCACCTTCTATGGACCCGGTAGACTGCCTCGGCACGGCGTATGATGGACTTTGGCCCATCAGGACTGTTTTTGGACCCCTGAGGACTGGTGATGAACCTTGTATGAAGCCCGTGGAACTTTATAGCCTTGTGCACCTACGCCAGCTATGAACCTCTTGCAGTCCCTTTACTAGTGTGAAGATTCTTCTACTGAGTGTTCAAACCCTGCGAAATTCTGTGTCGCACGCTCTCTCGCACCTCGAGCGTGAAAGCCCCTACAGCAAAGACGCAAAGTAGCGGCCCTTCAGCTCTCCAAACCCCCAGCTTCCTTCAAAACGGCCCAAAGAGAACGGCACAACAAACGACCAAAAAACCCTAAACCCTAAACAATGTTCCCTAAACCCTAAACCCTAAACCCTAAACCCTAAAGCCTAAACTCTAAACACCCTATAGACAACTCGTCACTCGCAACGCGGCCTCCCGTGGAGCACCAGGACCTGGAGGCGTTTGCGGTCCTCTGGGGCGACTTCCAAGTCCTTCAGGTCAGATAATTGGGGGGTCTAAAGTCGGAGGGGCGTAGCAGCTCAAAGGAATAAGGTGCAAGTTTGGCCTCTAACCAAGGCTTACGGATTTGGGCTTCGGCATGGTTTGTGCGGCTAAAGAAAAGAGGGCATTCCGCATGGTGGGAAATGGAGTCATGGGCCAGCCAGTGTAGGGTTTGTAGAGATTAGAGTTTTGGCTTTGGGGCGCAGGGGATGCTACGCGCGCTTGGTCAATCGTTGAGGGCACTTGGCTACCAGGAATGACTCTCGTCACGAGCTTGTGGAACATTGGCTTTTCTGTGGCCCTGTGTCCCTGCTTTACTTGACATAGGTCCCCAAGGCCTGACTCACCATGCTCGAGCAACGCGGATGCCAGTGTGGCCGGATATGCACTGAAGGCTATTTTTGTTACGTGTTTGACGAGCCATATCATGCCCTGTAATCCGGCCAAGCCTTGGGCCAAATAAGCTGCGGAGCCAGTGACACTCACTAAAGACGCGACGCCATGAAGTCAATTGAGGCCTTCAAGCTGAAGCTCTGCGAACGTATACCTTGAAATAGCCCCGAACACGAAGTACCAGTCCTTCAGAGCTGCGCCAGGGTTACGTCGTTGGGGGTTTTGAAGTGAAAAAGAGAAACTTGTCGCCGCACCCAGAAGACCCTGAGATGGGATTCCCTACTGCCACGCACATCCCTTCCAAAGCTCCAAGCAAATCTTGCAGACTCAAAAAACATCAGTAATTGAAACAATACCAAAGAAGCCAGCATCCAGGGGCCCAAGCCTGCTGAAGCCCAACAAGACCCACCAGCACGCAACTCAGAAGGAGCAAGCTCTGCCCCCTAAAGGCCATATGGCATTGTCTCTGGGCATCTGGCATCCATTTCCAGCTGCTGACACCTGGCCTTCAACAGTGACATTGTGGCATGAAAACTCAAGGTTTCCAGGGATCCGAATCCGGAAAGAAGTGCTGCTCAAATTCCAAAGACGACTTTATCATATTTAGCTTGAACTGGTATGTACAGTGATTTGACAAGAGCATGATTCTTCTCAGCAGCCTACAATATCCCGTGCAGGCAATGCAAGAGCAGACACGCGCAAAGACATTTCCGTTGCTCCCACTAGGCTCACGAGGCAACCAATCTGCGCAGGCTTACATCTATTGCTGAAGTGTAGACATTGATCCTTGCAGCCGAAACCAAACCTTCAATTATGTAGTCGTAGACCCCAACGACTTTCAGAATGTTGTCCGCGATCTTTTGCAGAACGTGAGCATTCAACATCTCGCTCCTTCTGTCGAGTCGTGTGGTGTCAACAAAGTTGAGGACTTGTGTGTCCAAGGTGTAACTTTACCAGGCCAATAGAAGCCTCTTACCTTCAGCAACCCGGACCTCAACCCCCAGTGGAATGCGCCGTTGGGGTTTTTGAGGTTTTGTAAACAAGATGACGCACCTGAACAAGCCTAGCAAGACTTGGCCACCGTAAGACCCCATGACATCCCCAGCGACACCCTAAACCCTAAACCCTAAACCCTAAACCCTAAACCCTAAACCCTAAACCCTAAACCCTAAACCCTATTGAAGCTTCAAAGGCCTCCATTTCAAGGCGCTGCTCTGCGAGTTCCCGGGCTTGCACCGCCATGGCCTACGAGGCCACTTGGTGAGTCGGGGCTGTTGGGGACTGCCGAGGAATTTGCCAACCCTAAACCCTAAACCCTAAACCCTAAACCCTAAACCCTAAACCCTAAACCCCACTATTTCAAGCTTCAGGACTTGCGTTTATGTTCCGCATCGTCCCCTGGAGGGCCTTTCTCATCTCCTGCTGCTGCAAGATGCGGTCCCTGATTCGCTCCTCGACTGCGCCCGGCCATGCGTGAAGACATTCACGCCAGGTTTTGTTTTCCGGGAGGTTAGAAACCATGGCTTAAGGGTCTACGCTGAGCCACAGAGAGACAGGGAATGCAAGCAAGCTAAAGTCTCCGGCATGTTACTCCCAATTGTCTTGCTACAAGAAACGTTGATGACAATGCATCTGCAAGGGCCCTGAC